GCTCGTTGTGCATTGTCCCTACCTACAGAGGCCTTCCAACCAACTAGTTCGCGGTGGTGGGGCACTAAAGCCACAGCGGCCTCTGGATAGTCATAATTTTAGCCGCAACGTTTGGGATTTGGTAAACTTGGAACTGAAGTCAATTCCGTTTATCAAGTTTCCAAGATAAACTTTTCGGTGGAGAATGTGATGCTAAAATACTAGCATGCCCTTTCCAAGACGTAATATGAGAATTATCCTATTCGACCGCAATCATGCATTTGAGTCATAGATGTAAACAACTGCCCGTCTCAGTTTCTCGAGCATCGCGACGTCTACATCAGTGTTCTGAATGTTCATATTTGGGAAGATCCTCGCTGTCCCAGTCAATCATGTTACACATACCACCAGAAAGTAGATCTTCCCCTGCGTCCGAGGAACAGACGCTCATGATCGAGAGTCGAGCCTAGTCTGCGTGATATTGCTTCTCATCTGATGAGGCGATTGCTCTCACATCGTACAAACCAACCGGCTTGAATCATTCAACTCAATGATTCAGGCGTTTAAACCTTTCCAAACATCCTGCAATATGACTTATGATTGGCAGCTCATAACTTCGTAGCACTGAGGTTTATTTCTGAGGTCCGCCACGTTCAAACACACACTTCTTCCAAAATCCTGAATTGATATTTTACATATGTAATATAGGAAAAAGCCTATTCAACAGCAAACATATATTTAACCCACAGCCGCATTCAGAAACCCAATCACATGGCCACATCCATTTCGTAATTCCAACGTCTTCCACATAAGTTTCGCTAATGTTCACATTTTGGGAAGATCCCCATTGTGTATGTGAATGTGATGCACTCATACGTTGCCTGGCTTTGCCATTCGAATTAAGCAATCATTGAGATTAAAGACAACGCGGAGAAGCCCTGAGGATACCCGGGGAGTTAATACGGCTGCCCGCATCGAATGCCAAATAGTGAATGGTTGACCAGTGCTAGCAATTCAAATGCTCAAAGGATGCAAACACTCCGTTAGGCTTCCTCGTTCGTCGCTGCCGTTTTCAATAACTCTCCAGTGTTCATCTGGGCTTATTTCTTATTGATTACAATATTAACAACATGGGTCACACCAATGACTGGTAAGACAACGAAACGATTTTTCGTGCTGAACAATCGGAAGACGATTGCCTGTTCACAGTGAATCAAGCATTGTAGAATTTAATGACTAAGGAATTTGAAAGGTACCATCTTGTAAATACAGATTTCCTACCCAGAATTTTCACAAGAGGAAAACAAGTATGCGGTATGATTTTGCGTATAGTACATAATACAGGCACCATCTCTGCACACATGGAATAGACCTAAGCAGATTTTATCTATAAATGTTGACCCTAAATGCACAGCTCATACGCGGTCTGTTTGTGTAGGGCTCACATAAGGCTACTGCGGGCAGAGTTTATTCATGACCACTTGAATAGGTCTATCTCCTCACTCAGCAGGTGACCAATGCAGATGGCCCTAGATAATTGTGCCAGCTTAATGAAACATCCAAAGATATTTCAATTTGTGGTACATGTAGCCTTAACCAGTGGGTTTGATGACATCCATTCCCACGGTAACTGGAATCAACTTTTCCAAAATACAACACGGATTCAAATTTAGTGGACTTGGTTGTTCATTTGTTCAGCCACTAATTAGTTAACTGGACGGAACACGTGATCTGAGCTTGAGTTTGCGTCGTCAAACTTGTGTTCTTACTTTTCTCTATAATTCAGTCAAATATGATCGAGATTTTTGCAAACACATACCGTTCCAGATGATTCGATTTCCCTCAAGTTTGTTGGGACGGCACCTGCCAAACCCACCTTCCTATGCAAATCGTGCCACAGTGGAGCCTGTAAGGAATCGGACCACGTCAAATGTCGCGCAAATGTTAGTGAACGCAAGAAGTGCGCATTTTGGAAGGCAAAACGTCAGCGGTGATACATGTGAACCACGACCAAAGGCGTTACCAGTTCAGTCGAGCGATAAATGCCAGACCGATTCATCCTGTAGTGCACCCGGGGGTAAACACGTTTGTGGATTATGTGGAAAGATATGTCGATATCACTCATCTCTGGAACGACACATGTTGAAACATAGTTCAACAAGAACCCGTGAATGCAGTATATGTGGAGCGAATTTCAAGCATGAGTATAGCCTGCAACACCACCAACGGAAAATGCACATTTCCGCAGGATTACCAACACCGTCTCATAAATTCCAATGCCGGATTTGCCAAAAGTCTTTTGGTTACCAATCGGAGTTACAGCGACACATGCTCATGCATTCTCCTACGAGGAAGTACGAATGTAGAAAATGTGGTACAAAATTCAAGCATGCAAACTCTGCAAGACGTCATGAACTCATGTGTAAATGTGAATATACAAATCAATGAAGGCTCTTGTGTGATGTTTGCCAGATATTTTGCATCCAAGTGCCTCAAAAAACACTCGACCATATGCACAAATTACGCGCATTTTCATGCAATACATGCGAGAAATCTTTCTTCTATCCCTCATGCCTTCAGATTCATCAGCAGAGTGTTCACGGAGCTTCATGAAGCCATTTCACATTATGGTAAACCACTCTCTGGAATTTCTATTTGTTTCTATCAGCACAAGGTCTCGTCTGAACAATGGAGGTTGGGACCAATATTTAGTCTTCTTTCAAGAGTGATTGCTTGGAACATCCGAACATATTCTGTCATTTTTCACTTGTGCTTGACCACCGGTATTTTGGTGTACAGCAACCACCGTCTGTATCGCGAGTAAAATATACAAATGGGACATGCAGCCACCTTATGACCAGTGTCCGTCGTTTATCAAGAATGCTTTTTTTAAATTTCTGTGGATTTTCTTATCCACTGCACAATGCTCCGCATCGAAAACTAATGCTAACCAATTCCCCACGAAATACTGCGCGATTTCTGTAAACGAACGCCTTTTGTTCCACGTTGAACGTAAAAGTGAACAACACCTGGGCAGGTCGTATACACCAGTGACTAATAAATTATCATCTCCGTGTTATTTTTATGTTACGCGCCATAGAATTTAAGAACACTCATGTCGAGACACGCACAGATACTACTCACAGCATGCTGCATAGTTCTTTGTGGAATATTCAACTCGCATCACCTGATTTCACTCTCCCTGTAAATAGTATTAGCTTCCAAAGATTTGGCAGTTCACACCGGCTGCCTGCAAAGTTCGTAGTTCTCGCAATAATCGTCTCCATTCAAGCAGATTATTAAGCGTCGGCGTGGTGCCATTAGCCGGGTACCTTACATGTTTCACATAGCTGGATGAGGAAGCAAACATACGCCACTACCGATGCACTCTATCTTCCTGTTTCACATATGCGGTCTTTCCCGTCCCTCGTCCTCTTGGTAGTGAAACCGAAATTGGCCTACTCCCAAGAACTAACTAACAGATCAACCCCAACATCCACTAAATGCAATATTTACGGTTTACCGAGCCACGAAGAACTTCCCACTGGTTTCTGCTCGCTTCTGGATGCACATCTCTCTTGATCCGGAGGCAGTCTATGCCGGTTCTTTCTAAGTTTAGTATTGTTTCAAACCCACTGACCTGGAGGAATTCTGGCTCAACGGTTCCACGGTGATAGTCACCTCTTAGGGCTCATTCGCCACCGTTCGTTAGAATGTTCCACAAGCTCACCGATGATCGTAGTTTGTTCAGTTTATGTGCTTAAGTCCCAACGGACTGCAATTTCTATGACAATTGAAGCTCACTAAATCGGTAAGCCAAGCGTTCAGCTTTGTTGTGGCTGCCCACCTTATAATGTTTTATTCAATTAACGCTGCTGAGGCTGATTACAATGTTGATTTCGCCCCATAAGTGAAGCCAATCCTAAGCACAGGGCCCAGACTTACGCATCCACGTGATCGTTCTAACGAATGATAGGCAGTGTACAACTCGCAAACATTCAGAAGTTTGGAACTCGTGAACACACGGTTAGTAGATTCAGTGAGTCAGTTAACAAGTCTTTACGTGATTCTGCGATGGATGGGTTAGATGCGCGGTGTTCTGTGATACTGCCAGTAAATGATACTTGTGACTAGCCAGTCGAGTTCAAACGATTGTGCTCGACCTCCAGTCAGTAGCCGGTCAGTTCAAATTTGTCCAAGTCCCGTGAGCAACGTACTGCTACTGAGTCTCAGTAAGGATAAAACAGCCGCACACTTCATCTCGGCTTCACTTACACGCCCAACTTAACACCGAGAATTTCCATATCTTCTCCCACTTCCAACAACGGATGCGCAGCTCAGAAGAAAACAGGTTCACTTGCATATGGATTTTCGGTAACACTAGCTTCTTTTATCTAATCCAACTCATAATTGTGCACCGCACCCAGTCAAAAAACCTTCGCGTCGCATCCCTGCGAACAATGAGCGGCAGCGCCGTGATCAGTCATCTTGCTCATGAGCGATTTTCTTTCATCTGAACGTACCACTCCTGCATTCAAGGAACTTATTTTAGCTTTCCAAACTATAATCCCAGTTCTGGAAGTTGCCGTTATCGCTTTAGATTGCACTTATTAGCCTGGAACTGGTGATTTCGAACACCCGATTAGGTTCGTGGGATGAGTGATGTTGATGGGTTCGAACATGGATGAAACAGTTTTGCGTGTTAATCCACTTCCCGGCACTCACTGACTTTACTTGCAGGACAAAAGACTAACTGCAAGTCAGTCCAGGTTGCATCATTAGAATGCGCGTCGACAAGTTAGAAAAAGAACTCAATATTTTATTCGACAGTAGTGCGTGACTGTTCATAAAATGCTAGCGAATACCCGCCACCACCCGTTATGAAGCGATTTCGACAAATAAAACCTCACTTAGATTACTTGAGTAACGGCACGGGTGATCCCGGATATTTCATACATGGATGCTGAAAACCAAAACGAAGGATACAGCCGAAGCTCAGTTGAAATTCCCTTACTATCTTGGTTAGTGATCTCAATGACTGCCTTCATATAGATTTGGAATGAAGACCAGACCTATGCAGAATAATCCAACATATACAAATTGCAAAATTTAACAGTCCAGTGGATACAGTTGGAAACGTGTCATTCTCCACTGATCTCAATTTTAACTTTATATATTTTATATATATTTTAGCTCTATATATTCGTTCCGTTTCAATTATAGTTTCACGCAGCTGGCTTGTCTGAATGACTTGATCGAGAACCGTGAATTAAAATAAATCATTCTCAATGACCATACCAGCTATCTGTATAGTATTACATGTGCTGAAATTGTTAGAGGCTGATTACTGAGAATCCGCAGCTGGTCCAGTACTACTTGCGTCCTGGTTTGCACCAAGATTACCCGCAGTGCATGTGCACCACACAAAAAGCATCATCGAATATCTTTGCGTGTAGCATTAGATTCATAA